AAATCTTCTAAAAAATTTTGGGCGGACTACCAATCCTGCACTAATCTCATAAAATTAATTAAAAAATAAGTTTTTAGATAAACACCTTAAAAAAAAACTTTTAGGAAAATTACCTACATTGCACTAACTTCTTTATTTTCTTTTATCCTTGTTTAAAAGTTTTTAGTGGGCATGGTAGAACAATAGAGAGGGCAAGCTTCACAAGTTATGATTTGGCAATGAAAAGAACTAAACGAAAAACAATTCATTAAAAAAATAAAATCAAGAGTTCCTACCATATTTGATTTAACTATTTCAAGAAAATTCACAATGAATGGTTGATATGTGACAACCAATAGTTGATTATAGTCCAGTCTTTTGTGGAAATCATAATTAATAAAAACCAACATGAGAAACCTCTAATGAATGTGATGGAAAGAAAATCTTATGATTTATAAACATTTTATTGGTTAGAATACTACTGATGTAGTATTCCATTATTGTAATGAAGAATTCTTCAACTAGAAGACCTGGAATAAGTTAAGGTTTTTTGGAATATTAGAATATATATTAACGTGTGGAAAATGTAGAGAAGAAAGTGAAAAATTAATTGCTCTAATACTCGATGAAAATGAATGAAAGCAAAAGGGGAAAGGGGAAGTCATCATTGGGCTAGAAGCATGTAGTGTGCGTTTAGTATATTAACGTGTGGAATAAGTTAAGGTTTTCTAGAATATTGGATTATATATTAACGTGTGGAAAGCGTAGAGAAGAAAGTATTATGACATGGAATAAGTAAAGGTTTATTGGAATATTGGACTATATATTAACGTGTGAAAAGTGTATAGAAGAAAGTGTGTAAAACCATAATTAACGTGTAAAAAGCGCAGAGAAGAAAGTGAAACATTAATTGCTCTAATACTTGTGAATAATTTGGATTTTTATTCATCAAAAAAAGATTGAATTTTGAACAGAAGCAATGCATAAAATCATGTGAATGTTGATAGCAATTGCATTTCTTGG